CCGTAACGGTTTCTCCCATATTCGACTTTTGAACAGCACCTAGCCATGGTTGTGCTAGTTGAAACACATCAGATATCTTAGTCGTTACAACCTCTCCCGGTTGATAGTGCGGGACTTTGTTTCGTTCGCCACTGCAAAAGAATTTATTGCAGTCGACGTTTTTCAGGAAGTGGATCCACATATATAAAGGCAAACTTGCTAGCTCTTTTTGTATAGGCAAACCCCCTACTGAGTTTACTCTCTATGGCATTCGGGCGTTGTGCTCGTCATCTCGCATTACAACTAAATTGCACATACAAATCGTCAGTATATCATGCCGACTGGGTTTAAAAGTTCCAGGACAGGCATGGCTACAATTTCACTTCAATAAATACCCACCAGTCTAAGGACAACTGATATATACTCTCCCGTCCTCATTCCAATATGAAATGTCTCAAAGAAAACAACACTTTAGTGCTTTGCACTCTGAGTGATTTCTGGCTTCGAAAGTACAAGTCGGACCTTCCTACTCTCAGCTGATCAAGGTGGTTTGGATTCTCATCGAATAACGGAAGTTAATTTGATGTAGGCAATGAGTACTGCTTTTCCGAGGTCGCACCGCTCAACTTCTGAAGACGAAGTTTAGTAGATTTTTAATCATTGGAAGAAAATTGAAAACGGAAATTGAAAAGCGAAATTTTGCATCACGTTGTCCTTGCCTTTCTTTAGTTTTTTTAAATACTCATTTGAACGATATTTACTGATCATGAACAAGCAACGGATTTCGGTTGTAGACTACTACTGCCGTTGAATTAACAAAGTAGAAGGGGTTCCCTATCTTAAACATCGGGGTTTTCCGCCTGTTGCAATTTTCAACCAGATGAACGACTTTATAGAAGCAAACTATGGACAATGTACACATTTTAGCTCATATGGCGATTAACTTTGCTTTAGACACAAAATGCCCACCGCGAGTGGAAATTACATTAAATTATGCGGTCTCCGAAGTTTCCCATTTGTGATGTAAAACCGGCCTCCAAAATCGTTCAGGGGAAGTCGACAACAGAGCTCTCTACTAATGAATAATTTAAATAACAGAACTCTGGAAACTGAACTAGATAATCCGCCCTACAGGTTCTGGTGTAGGCAAAACCATGACCTTCAGCGCCGGAACACTTAACGTTGAGTAAAACTCATCCAGATGTTCATACGCCGGCCTTGGCCACTGGACTCATGTGTGGGGACGCCTGTCACCGGCTAGGGCGCAAGCAATTGAAGCCGGCTTGACCATTGATAATAGAGGGATGGCGGGGTTTATTAACGAGTGACGAGAGCTGAAAGTGCAACATGCTGAAATAAGAATTTTCGAGCTAAACACGTTTTCCGGACGCGTTTTTAGCCTCAGATGTTCCGTTGAGCAACCGAATGGCACGGCGGTCGTCCGATAACTCAGCTTTTATCCGTACCCCCGGCTTAACTGTTCCCTTGACTTAGCTATGAAAATTAGCAATAACTCAATATCGTACCATGGTAAACACTGCTCTGAGCTCATGAAATACCGACCCCAGTTTTCAAATGTGTTCGTGAGGGTCTTGCTTGGATATCTTCCCAATATTAATCAGCATGTCGCACAAATCTCAGTTACTTCATAATAATTATTTTTCGGTAATCGTGTAAATTATCCTGTGAGAAAGGACTGCAATCGGGGTGGGACGCATGTAATTCATTGATTGTCAATGCTCGTACAAATGCGTCGGATTTTCCATGAAACGGAGGCAACAGCATAGCATCTCGTAGTCTTTATATGGGGACTACGCCTTCAAAATCAGAACTCGAAAGAACGAAGCATTTCAGTTTCAACGGTGATACTTGCGATTCTGAGGTCTTTCTGGCACCCGTCTGACTATACGTATGATCCTCAGACTTATCAAGGCTGTTTATATGGTGCACAATAGAGCTAGCATTCACTGTACTACGTTCTGTGCACAAAGCTGTCTCCTCCCGACGGTGTGAAGTGTCATATGCACTGTTTTGTAAAAACCACATAACATCGAGTCGGGGCACATCTGAAAAAAGTGAAAACCTGCGCAAGCTTGCTGCTAACCTACCAAAAATATTTTGCATCAACATCCTAACTACGCACTTACTTGCACGACTGCAGTTGGTAGGGGTCGTGGAACCGAAAAACTGCGTCTGGTAGTGGCCAGAAACTGTCATACCAATTAGAGACAATTGTAAAGCCAACTTAATTAATGCTGATAAAAATGGCTTTGCTGACTTTCAAATATACGCCGATTTAGTGACCGTTTTCTATAAATCCAGGAAATTCGCCTGCGCGGTGCACTCTCCCTGATAGTGCGTCCTGACGTTCTCCGGTGCTCAGCCGTCCAGATCTGTTCCCTTTCTTCATAGTAGTAGTAGTAGTAGTAGTAGTAGTTGTTGTTGTTGTTGTTGTTGTCGTCGTCGTCGTCTTCTTCTTCTTCTTCATCAACACTGCCACAAACACAACCGTTATTACACCTACCACTATAATATTGTTAGTAGTATCCCTACTATTGGCATAACTGTCACTTGAGTCCTTTTCTCGTTCTCATCCCTCGGCTGCCTTGTCCTCTCATCTATGTTTGCAGCTCATCAATACCTAGGTGTACCTTTCTGGACACTAACTCCGACAAATAATCGATAGACAATTGGAAATGCAGTCGCCACTATCTGTAAAAAGCAATTTAGGGAGGCTATGGGTTCATGGCCGAACATCACAGGACTGTTTTCTTCCGAATATTGCTACAAAAAGAAAATGGTAATCCAAAAGACTTATAACGATATTTGCTGATAATCCAGACATAGTGCAGTTTGAAAATTACTATGAGTTGGTGTCATCTTCATGGAAATCCCTCACTTTGCTATCATAAACAAAGCACTACATCGTCAATTGCCGACAATATGAACCAGTATGTCCCCGTTTAAGTTCTTGTCTGCCGAATCAATTTTGAAGGCAACAAAAGTGAATTTTCTCAACGAAAAGTTCCCCCATTGTCAGGTAACGGATCGTTCATTTACATCGAATTCCTCCTGAGACGAGCAGGCAACAGTTTTAATAGTTTGATGATAAATTTTAAAAGGCGGATGTATTAAAATTCCTTATGAAGACGGAAAAACCCGTCTGTAATAAACCTCGTTTTACCAAGTCTTCAAACATATGCCCTTTGAAGGTGTATTGTGTATACTTAGGTATGAATAATCCATCCAAAATAGCCCAGAAGTGAAGCTACATTTTGACTAAAAGCGAACACGTTTCATTCTTCAATATCCACTTTACCGTCGACCGCGCCTTCAGGTTCTGGGGCGATTGATAAAAGCGTAGTGGACTGATCCATCTCCTCCAGTAGGTTTGCGACAATCTTACCGAATAGGACCTTACACCAAGAAATGCTTCTAACAAAGACAAGTGATGTGGGATTCGTCGTCTCCGTCGTATTTACGGTCATAAACAAGTAATAATCCGTCTGTAGGTGATGCCACACCCGAAAGCTTGAGTCAGCCTACACTGGGTCAATGGGTATCCAAGGACGTCATTACCATTTGATAAAGCAGCAGTCCCGCACCTTATCATCTACGGCCGGATGCGTCGGAGTCTGCGGCTGGACTACCGACTGTTAGTAATGACTGATAGGCCAAGCGTGGTCATTAAGGTGTTCCAAATCTTCGTCGTGAACACTGCCCCATGACCCGGTACTCATTGCGACGGTCCGGATGGGTCAGTGGTTCAGAGTTTCGGGGCGAAATAGTCCTTTCTGTGCTGAAATTATTTTTACTGTTGCTCCGAAAAGAGACTCAGGAGGCAGAGGCCTGACAAAGAAGAGAAAGAACAGCGAGGCTCCCGAGACAAGTATTACCATGCCAGAAGGGCGAGTCCGGAAGACAGCTAAGTCTTACAAGCAAAGGGAAGAAAGAATTACTATCGGGCTTCCTCAGAAAAAGTGGTATTCGAACGAACGCAATGCACTAAGAGGACGCAAGGTAGACAAAATAGAATTTTTATGCTGCTATCAATTGAAGGTATTATTGCCAAGCGCAAACCACGCTCGATTGCGTCGTATAACATTTTAGTAGGACGGAAAAATTAGGAAGACTTTTATGCGCACGATCGCCGGAGTCTCTTCTGCAAACGATGTACCACAATTCTGAGAGAGTTATTCTCGTAACATATGCATACACTAGGTCACATTTAATGTCATATACTGGACTTTCTCCTACAGTCACCAGTCCTCTGGATGTATGTATTCATCTGAACCTTCATCAATCGGCCATTCAAATTAACAATCCTAAGACATCCGAATGAGGACGGATCTGTATTCGAAGGCCGACGGGTCACTCGGATGAGGGCTGTCCTTTTTGTTGCTTAGAACCAACAAAGAATTGCGTCCGTAGCCAGATGCCGTCATAATTCACTGCATGTAGTCCCCGCAGCCATCACTCAGTCTACCCGCATAAAACGGGTTAGGATGAACAGAATACGGTAGAGGTTGCGCAAATCTCCCTCGGTATAATCTACTTAACGGACAAGTTGCCCAGACTTAGGTAGTGATGGTCCTCGTTGAGCATAAAATGCACCAAGGAAACACAGGCAATATAGGCCATGAGCATTCTATCCTAACACGTCACGTTTCGCAGGCTGCACCCATCGTCATTCATGATTGGTATAAAAGCATATGCAGGTGGTCAATGCCAGAGGTAAAACAAGAGGCAGATTCACTAGTAAACGAAAAACAGAAAAGCGAATTGCATTGGATCTGATAGAAGAAGCCAAGAGAATTCGCTGTAAAGACAAGAAATTATATGAGGCAGAAGACGACGTTTTGCAAAATGATAGCAATTTATTATCATAAAAGAACCGACCAGTGCAGATTCGATGTCAGGAACAGAGCCTCGTTGCCTACTTCGGCTATGGCTGCATCGCTTGCATTTTGTGATACTTAGGTTCTCAGTGTACGGTGCATCTCTTCTTTTATCTTTATCTCTTATGGCTTCCAGGTTATCACGTCGACAGCAATGTTTGCGTGCTTTCTTACTCCAGCGTCTTCGTCCTCTGTCAACTTTTTTATCTGAAGCGACAGAAGAAAACATTTAGCCCTTAACTCTTTTCGGATGACGGTTTGTATTCGGCCAACCAAATTGTTAAACGTATAGGTAAATAAACACCATAAGTGCTATGAAAACCATGGAAGCAGCATAAACATCTATTTTGACTGGTGAGGAAGTTAATGCTTATACCACTCAGTTTAATAATCCGGACATTGAAATCTAAGCGCCTGATCCTTACCATAGCACAACATGCAGAATGAGTCAGTGCTGTAAGTTATGGCAGTTCGACCGTCGTTGCCGACAATGTTCACCATGTGCTCCACAGCGAGATGAGAGCAGACAAGGTGAGGTGCTTGAATTAGATTATAGTGAGAGTATATTTGCGCAGCATCTACCGCGCCCTTTCCTTCTTCCCGGCATGAGCTCAGTGTTAAGACAGTCAAGAAGACCGACGGAGGTAGAGAGCGCAGATGACTGACACGGCCGGACGCACACCTAGGCATTCCACCACACCTCCTGGTCCACAACATACACTGGACCAGGATTTTAACCAGCGATAAAAATTGGTCAGAGAGAGGAGAGAGCCACACAAGTCACTGGCCAACCATGCACACGACCTGTAGACCCGGCGGGAACTCAAGCGCATCTACCGGCAGGGAGCAACTATGCACCCGGCCTGAATACCCGCCTGGGAGTTATAGGTGACGAAAAAATGCTTAGGAATAATAATGATCGCACTCGTCGATATCAGCGTCCTCCATTTTTATCTCCTTTTCACATTCGCCATGCACATTATGACTGTTACTGAAGTACAAATGGCTTTAACCGACTTTTACAATCCTGCCAGCACGTGGCCCCCTCTTGAAAGGGGGCCAAGAAGGGGCTATGAGGGGGCCACCCCCCTCGAAGTTTTCTCGTCGTTACTGCACTATTAACAGGCATTACTCCGTGAATAAACGTGCATTTTTCGGTTAAAATTTGTTTGAAGCATTTTGTCCCCGGTACGAAGCTGAAGTAGGCAAGAACGGCAGGAGTTATTGGTACCACAAAATTTCGCGACTGCTCTTTAGCTGCATCCTGTCGCTTCATAAGAGAGATAACAAGCGAGACTTCGGTAGTTGTGCTTTTGACATGTCTGGGCAGTCCTGATATAATGCGCATAATTGTTTAAGTGTGTCACTTTGCGGCACTTATCTCCCACGTGAGCTGCGATCCTCTCGTCGTGAGTGCTAATACTGTCTACTGTGGTCTACGTGCATACGTTACTGTGGTATGTAATGAACTGCCCTTTTGCTATCTTTTATGATATTTTGTAAGTTTTGACGTGTAAAGTAGTATTATCATTGAATAATTGCCTGTTGATTTAAGCAATATCAATGAGATATCCGTTGTAGCAGAGTGATCTGAAAAGCTGCACTTTGAGCCTTTGTTTATCATTTTTGTCATTGAGATGAAGCAGAAATGAAACGTAAGTATTTTGGAATCAACCGGAGCACCGCTTATAAGCGAATCCGGCGCCTGAAGACGGTCTACTATGCGGCAACGGAGGCTGCCCAACAGGTTAATGTTCCAACGGCGTCTACTTTGCCAAGCGACTCTCCTGAATTAGAAATGCCTGAACTAACGCCTGAGGGTTACACTGGTAGGTTTTTCCATCGATGTAGAATATTAGTGGGTGTAGAGTTTGCAGGAAGTCAAGAGCATATGACGGAAAAAGGGGAAAATCTTTTCTATCAGATTTACAAGAATTATGTCTGAACACGCGAATGCCTCTGTCTATGATGAAGGCTATGTTCGATATGCTCCGGCAGTACCACCGAGAAGTCCCGAAGGACCCGCGAACGCTCTTGAAGACTCCAAGAACTTGTAGCAACAAGGTCCTAAGCAACGGGAACTATGTCCATCTGGGCATTGAGCGAGCTTTGCTGGATGAGGTAAACCGCCGGCAAACAACTGAAATTCCTGAAATGCGCATCCAATTGCACATTGATGGGATGAAGTTGTTTAAAGGATCAGGTCAATGCCTTTGGCCAATACTAGCGCGAATCAGTCACCCTTTTATTGGTGAACCCTTCGTCGTTGGCGTATTTTCCGGCTTTGGCAAACCCGAACCAGTGGATGAGTTTCTTCGTGACTGTGTTTGCGAATTGAAAGGACTTCTTGATGGTGGCCTGCGACTCCCAGGTACAGGGGATGTTGTAAAAGTGGAGCTAGCCAATATCATTTGCGATGCCCCTGCCCGCTCCTACATCCGGCAAGTCAAGGCACATAACGGATACTATGGATGCGATAGGTAGGTTTGTTCATCGAGCTAACCTAGACCACTCTAGGTGCTGTCATGTTGGAATTCCCATTGCTAACCGTATGACGTTTCCGCCGTATAGTGGGCGTCCTCGGGACGACATGTCATTTCGGTTGCAAAAGCAGGCCATGCACCATAGGGGCATATCACCATTTGAGGAGTTACCCATCGATATGGTAGCCTCCTTTCCCATGGACTACATGCACCTAGTATGCCTGGGAGTAATACGTAAATTGCCGCACATGTGGCGCCTCGGAGTGAAGAAGTTTTCTGCGGCGCTCAATGCGCGGATTAAAAAGTGCAGCAATTGTCTACCGGCAGAATTTGCTCGGAAGTGCCGAACTCTGGATTGCCTGGAGTATTGGAAGGCGGCCGAATTCCGGCAATTTCTCCTATACATCGGCCCGGCAGTCTTAAATTCATTTCTTGATCAGGAGCGCTGTCAGCACTTCCTGAAGCTGTCTGTAGCCATGTATATATTTTACCATCCCCGGTTACACATAACGTGCATTGACTTTGCACGTATCCTTTTAAATGGCTTTGTAGAAGACTTTGGCAAGCTATACAATCCATTAACCTACATTAATGTAGGTTAATGACGTACATTACTCTGATGGGAATTATGGATGGGTAACCATTTGACGTTATTAAAATCAATTCAAATTTTACTTAATTCGAAAAAGCATAGTTTTTGAGACGCTTTTGCATCGATTTTCACTTTGCATTTTAAAATAACGAAATCAGTCAAGTCATATTTCATTGGCCATTGGGCAAATTCGTAGAACTTAACTGAATTGTACCGTCGATATGTGACCAATAGCAGAACGTTGAACTACTTTGACAGTAGACCTATTGACCAATACGCTCGCGACGGTAACCGCTGTTCAAAACCTTATAAGTGGAACTGCCACCAGTATTTGGAAATTTTGGAGAAGACTCTCTAAAATATTCTCCATGAAGTTTGGTCATATAAGAGCAGCGATGAAACCCCTTCCCATAGATTTAAAAGTCAGTAGAGAAACGCTATATAGGACTCTTTGCACGTTCGTCACGCAATCAGGTCGACAGGGTGCCGCTTTCATACGAAGAGACTTTTTCGAAAAAGTAAGCATTAAACCTCTTATTCCACTCCAGGATGTATGACTCCTGGGATCCTGTAGATATGCACGCGGTTAGGAAAAATCAAGGCATAAAAGTGTATAGTGTTTTTTTGGCGAAACGTACATTATCAACATGATCCAGTAGAATACGTCGACCTTCGGGCGCTTCGGCTATGCAGGTGATGGCCTGAACACCAAGAAGGGAAATACGGATAACAAAATCAATAACGAAAGGGAGGTTAATAACTAGCCGTTTGAGGCATTATACATGAATCATTAGGAAAATCTACTTCATGAAATGCGAAGAACGTCAAGAATAGCCGACTCCGTCCCTCTGGAAAGCGATGGCGGGGACAGTAGTGCTTCAGTCTAGGTTATCCTTTTGTGTGGTTCAGGCACCAAATTAATGCTCAAAATCAATCAAATAAAGTTATCCTTTCTTCGTAGATTAGTAGAAATGAAATCGAAGCGGAAGGTTAGCATATTAGTCCATAAAGAAAATTGGTAACATAAGCTCCCACCGGCCAGGCATGACGTTTCTGATAAGAGATTTGCCGGCTACATCAAATAAAAAGCCAGTAAGACAGACCTGCCACTACTTATATAATGACAGATTGGTTGAGTGGTGAAAAAGAACATAGCGAGTAAACGTCACAGATACAGGCGAGAATGGTCCGGCCGGGATTGGATTGTCGCCATGGTAATCTCGGAAAATGGGCTGGGAATCAAAAGAACCGTCCTAAACATGATAGCGTCAAACCTCATCGCCATAATTATAAAACGTAGCAGAAAAACCTATAAGAACCATTGTAACCTAATTTTCATAGTCCCTCACCTATTAAAATTCCCGAAAGTGGTACCAAAAATGTTTAATAATGCGAGGAGGCAAAATCTCACGGGACAGCTGGGTTGTAAACCAGGCTTCAAACCTCAACTTTGTGGTGCTCTCGAATATTACCGCATACATCAGCTAATAATTGCAATCTCTTGAGTTCAAACCTCCTCCCATTTGGTCACTCTGGAAGCCCTCAGTTGATACTGTCAACGACTGATTTGAATTGCGTTTTCTATCAGAAGGGATTACTTTCGTAGGATTGTGATATTGTTCATCGTTCAGCAAAAACCTAGGACATTTTGAACACGCCAGGAGGTTGGCTTTTAAATGGATTTTTCTTCGGCCGCCTGCAGTAATCGCATCCGATAGATATGACTACGTAATTGGTGTAATTCTATTAGTTTTCGATGCCATTGTAAATCCAAATATATTCCATGGAAAGCTCAGTTAAATACTGATTCTTGCACTCATTTGGTAGCGAATCGTCTCTTCTTTAAAATATATTCCCGGAGAAAGGTAAATTTTGGTTTTAAAAGTGTCTAATTCTGAAATTGCTAAAATCGTTTAAGGTCCATTTAAGAAGCATCGTGTCTGTTTAATAATGCTCCTCATTAAGTATACAACATGGTTTCAGTCCATTGCAACATTTTGTGAGTCCCATGTGGTATTTTGTTAATGGCATAAAGGAATGTGTTCTTAATCACACGAAAAGTATGCAGCTTGTTAACTGGAAACCCTAAACGAAAATACATCGCAAGTCGTGTTCAAGATTACTCGGAGGCTTCAAAACTTTTTAAGGAAAAAGTATTAGTAAGCAGACAGACACGATACTATTAAGGTGTGACACGACGCTTCACGGTATTTCAATGCAGTAGTAAATTACTGCCGTTCCCAATTCGACCACATTCCTATGCTTACAAGACCCTCTTCTGTTCTCGCAAGTCTGCTTAGCATAGTAACGGTTCAGGAAACGAGGTCCAGGCTGGAATACTGATGGAGATGTGAGCAGATTGAGACAGCGCTACCTCAGGCTTCTTCTACCTTCCGTGAGCCACTCAAACCCCAACCACCGCCTGGGACCAGGAACACGAAACTGCGCTCGCACACGCAGATGATCCACAGGCGGCGCCCGTCAGTCTGACTATAAACGTCCAATGGAACAGAAGTTTAGCGGCATTCTGCCTCACCGTAGGTCGGCTGTTTATTCATGTGGGAATGGGCGCAAAACATTTTGACCAGTTTCCCCCAGTCAATCTCCGTTCTAGTGCACCTGTATGCTGTTTCTTGAAAGTATCTCCCAATGAGCTTTTTTTTCCGAGCAGCAGATCCGAAACCCTTTTAGTTAATTGTTTGCAAATCGATTCAAAATAAAAAAATCCTATACAAAAATTTACAAACAGGAGCATGCTCAAATTCATGTCAACTTTGAGCCGAAAGTTACAATATATGGATGAGTTTTGTAGACGATGGCTTTATTTAAGGAAACGCGCAATATTGCTCATTATCTTGAAAAAATACCCTTTGTTTATCCGAGTTTCTCTAACGTTAGCAGGGAACTAAACGCACCAAAAGGCAGAGTGAACACTGTTATGGTCTTTTCCACATATATTATTTTGCTTTATGCTAGTAGTGGGAACGATGCTCGGATTTTCGTCTTTTCTACACCTCCGAGTATTTGTTTTCATCCGTCGGAATTGCTTTCTAGTAAGGCGGTAGTAAACAATTTACGTTCCGATTTCGAAGGAATGGTGTTTGGGAGCTACTTTTGGCATAATATTTGTCATAAAGTGAATCTTATTTGGGATAGTACAGACGGTTTCTGGGCGCGGTATCCATATTTTGCTCCTTTTGGTTAATCGCTTTCAGTATATGTTGCATATAACGATTTGAGATATAAAAATGCCTTCCGTCCTGTGTGGCCGATGCGTGAGAAAATCTCGGAGATGACGAGCTGTTAAATAAATCTAAATAGATAATTTTTTTGTTTTGAGGAACTTCTTCAGGTTCAATTTTAAACTTTTTTCACCATCTGACTATGACGTTGAAAAGAAGGTCAAGACTAAGTCCCTCTCAGATACAGCTTCGTAATCTCCTTACGGATCTTCGAAACTTGTAAGGAGTTTGACAACTAAACCTTTAGACCCTGGAAATACGTAACTCACCTTGAGTCCATTTACGCGTACGCGGCTGCATGAATGCACTAGTAGCCTGAGGAGGTTTGGGATGGCGTCCGCATTGATAGCTGTGTAGCGTCCATGGGTGGTGACACTTGTGCTACAAACAAACAGGGTACGTTACCTCCAATCAGTCAGTCATACACCAAATTTAGCTGAAAGTAGCCACAAGCGAGTTGCTTACAATGCGAGCGCACCAGCTGCCGAGGCCTTCACATCAGGGTCGTTGTCACTCAGAAGGCCGACAAGGGCAGGGATGGTCTCTTTGTCAATGGCCTGTTGTCTGCCCCGAGGGTTTACACTAAGGCAAACAGTGAAATTTAAGAAGAGGAATAGGTAACCCGATTTACGCAATACTCACGTTAGCATGAGAATAACCTGTGCGCTCTTCCCTCGAACTTCAGGAGAGTGGTGACTGAGGAGCTTGGTGAAGACTTGCATCCCACCAGCATTTAGACCAGCATCACTGTTTAAATCCAAACATCTATTTAGGGTTTCCAAAATAACAGCCTGTAAGAATGAATTATGAGTACTGTCACGAAGAGTCGGCTTGCCTTGATTTCCGCGTATTCGCGCTCCACGCAGGCAATAAGCAAAGGAATCAAGTCAGCATCTACAATTGCCTGGCAATGTGCCGGGTTGATGGAGAGAAGTTCAACAGCCTTGTGTGCATTCAAACGAACGATATCAGGTTCGTAGGACGAGAAGAGAAGCTTCAACACATCAAGGACATCCTCGTCAATGAAGGCCTTTCGACCAATGGCGTGTTCTATGGCAGTAAGCTTATTTGAGTTATAACCTACGGTTAAAGACGATAAAGCATTCTGCAGCCATGGCTCTCACAGGAACATCTTTGTCTCGGAGTAGGTGTTTTAGTGACGGAATAATGCCTAGAAGGGCGTCAAAATAGAAAGGCTGCGTCAGGTGTACCTTCGTGCACAGCAGCTGCAATATGCTCGTGGTCGTGGAGGTAGTCACATAGGGCTTTGACAGCTCTTTGGCGAATGAGAAGAACATCATCTTTAAGCTCTCTGTTCTTGAAAAGGAAAGAAGGGCGTTTTACAGCTGCACAGAAGACAAAAAATATAATTGTGAGAAAAAATTAAAATATGGAAATCCGATCCAGTTTTCTACTACATTATATCTTGGAACATGAACCACAGCACTAATGTTTACTAGGGACCTTTGTAAGCGAGAGTTGTAAAAACTGATATTTGACAAGCATTTCTGGCATTTATTGACGAACACAACGAAAAAACAACGACCATTGTCTCTCACAGCACAGAGATTCGGCGAATGTTAAAAGCAGACATCGAAAGACGACCAGCTGCGAGCTAAACAGATCTGTGCGCAACAACCAACCAAAATGACTGAAAGGCAAACCTTGATAAAACCTTGAATAAGCAATGTCCAACCCCCAGAGAAGGCGTTTTACCGACCATCGAAGGATATTAAATTTCCTTTATAATAAGAAGCAAAAAGTCTTAAGTTGATTCTTTAGTTGATTCTTCGGTTCCAAAATACCTAGGAAGGTGTTTCCCAAGTCTACGATCTGTTGATATTTTAACTTCCAGCAGATAACTTCGACAAAGGCCACTCTTTTGGTATTCAACAGTTAAAGATGTAAGTCCCATATGCTAACCACCTTTTGCTTACAGATAACAAAATCACTCGGGAATTCGACGCCCTCTAATTTCTTACAAACAACAGAGCGTCGTAACTGACACAGGAGTTGGATCATATTGCGCTTATCAGACCTCAAATCACGAAGGCGAGGATTAAAAGTAAAATTAGCCGAGTTCTGTGAAAAAGCACTAAACCGTTAGCAAAGAAGATAAATGGTACACAATGTCAAGATAGTGCTATTATCAACAATAGACATCCAATCAAGTGTTACCAATAACAAAAGCTTTCCGAGGGGATGAGAAGAAGGCCAGTTCTTGACGAAGTAATAAGCAAACGTAAAGAGTCGACCTGTATTAAATCTTCACTTTTGACAAACAGATGAACAATATTAACCTCTTTATGGCCTAAAATGTCACTGCTTGGGCATTTAACCATTTCTTGTAGCATAATAGGACTTGTATGATGGTCGACATATGAGACCTGTTTTCGCATGCAGTCCGTTTTATGCTAACGTGGGTTTTAGACGTCTACAAGCATTGCCCGACCATCAAAGATTAAAGACTTTAGTTCTTTATTTGCAGTTAGGCTCGTAAGACTGAATGTAATAGGCGCAAAGAAACACTAAATCTGATTTCATCCTGCCGGCCCAGCTGAGCAAGTTTAATTACATAGATGCTGTCAATAATAAACAAGGATCTGCATCTCTGTGCCCTTGGAGACGTTTTAAATTTGATAAAACATCGCTGACAGAAGAGTACGTACAAAAAATCAAGCGCAGCCGCAATGCCAATCTTCTGTTCACTTCTAAACGAATGTCGACTAGAAAGAGCTACAATATCTCTAGTTGCTTAAATCAGTAAATCAATCTTGTACAGCTTTGAATAATTGGCGGTGTACGGAAAAAATATTCGGAGCTCGGGGATTATAAGGTCGTTCTCGACTTTGTTCTGTCGTAATCAACGGTGTTTAGGCCGTTATATAGACCCGCGAATTTTATTCAGATGTCGAATTTTTAATATCAGAAACCGTGTAGTTTCCAGCCGCCACTTAAAGAGCAAAATCTGCGAGACTTAAAATTGAAATTTTATGTTGATTTAGAAGAAAAAGGGGGAATTCGAATCTGAGCAGCTGTACATTTGAGTAGTTTGATAGTGAACTAATTAACTTTATTGGGTCTACGAGCTTACTATAACCTTCTCTGCTTATATCTGCGGGCGCACTGAAAATCTAGCTTGCACTTCGAATGCCTATGTAAATGGAACACTATAAACCACTGCGAAACTGAATTCTTTAAAACATAAGTTCGTCTGGCTTTGAGCGCAAACTGGAAACATGTAATATATGGCATCATATAAAATAAGACTTCACAACAGAATAAGGCGCCTAGACGCAGTTATTCTACTTAAAATACAATCATCTACGAGACAAAAGTAATAATAATTTGAGCTCAATACAAGAACTGCTTTAATTGCCAGCGCTCCTGGCCAACTTGCTTCAGCTATAAATGCGACGTACGATTTTTTCCTGTCCTTCCTTTGTGATTAATTCTAGTCTAACTTTCTGCAATGAAGACTCCGAATTTAAATGTTGTCATCACACCTGTATGACGGATGAAAACGACACAAGACTATTTGTGCCAAATCGCAACTTACATATGAGTAGCGAATTTGGGCAGAAAGCATCTGGAACTTGTCCTAACTTGAGGGGGTTCAAATGCCCACCTTTTAGGACATATAGTGCGTTTAAATGTGTAAAATCAGGCAATCAACCTGCAGCTGTTCAGTCGAGTATTTCAAAAGTTAAGGTGGCTTAAAGAAAGTAGACGTAAGCCGTCATGCTGCTATGCTGCTGCTGACTGCGTAAAACATTCTTAATTTAAGACCACCACAACTCACAGCCGAACTCTGACGGTCAGAGGAGAACACTAAGATATACGGTATGGGTTTTCCTTCAGCACTTAACGACTGCACTTCCTGCTGTAGTGTCAGACATGATGAGTCTCCCCAAAGGATGTATCTGACGTCTAAGTACATATATTTGAATAACTTCCTTATAAGTGGAATAGCTGCTATTTACTCTACAAACAGTAATTTAACAACTTCATATGTTGTAATCCACCGTATGTCTCAAGTGTATTATATATATATATATATATATATATATGAGATGATACCGACAAAGACAAGGGAGACCGGAATGGCCATTTCTGGCTTATTAGCCGTCATCAGCCAGTCATACCCAACCCCAAGTGTGGATCACTTGAGATTCGAACCCGGGATCTTTGGTCATGGAGTTGAACGCTCTACCATTGCACAAATATATTCATGCACATGCATATATGTGCAGGCACATATGTGCATGCATTTACTACATATACGCAGTAGATCCGACTATCATTAACAGTACATGTGTTAAAAATTAACCAGCTACGATGTTTCGTTCATATATGCTTCAGCATATTGGACAGATCAGCTCAACAAAAATATGCGATTTGTCGAATACGCCTTGCGCAATAAAAGCGTCAACCAATCAGCTTATGCTCGTCTTTAAAACTCTTAACAAATAAGGGCAAATTCTTGGTGTAGTTTATTTGTAGTTGACAACCGTAGGAGGCGGTCTACTCTTAGGAAAACTCCATATGGAGTGAAGCTCCACCACTTGGGAAAGCGTAATTTTTGTCGTTTTTCTTACCAGTCGTGGAAGGGCAAGTCTGCCATACGCTAAAGTCGCCCTCGACGGGTCGATATTAGGGGGCATTTCAAGGCTTATCCGCGCCGAAGCCATTTCCCTGAGACACCTGAACATCTGCACGGCGGTTTATATATCAAAATGTAACTATGGTAGCAAAGGTCACAGCCACCTAACCTTACATATTATGTGGTCGATTTAAACGATTGTTATTCAATTTGGATAATATGAAGTTCTCTGCTATTTTTCAGACCAACAGATATTAATTCCTCTATTGCTTGCACTGATCGTCATTTTGGCTGTATTATTTCTTGACAGTCGACACCTGCATACCTAGAAATAAAAAAGAAAAAACGCTGACGACGAAATTACCTGGAAGGATATTTTTAACATTAAAATGTCCCATACATTATACAATAACCAAACTGCGAAAACTGATAGGGTGTCAAGCATAATAGTCGGATAGGGGTCAAATGCCTCTCAGCTGTTAATCTATAGTACCTGCGTATCCTCATTTTGTAGGTGAACCCGGTGATAAACGCTTTCACGCAACGAAATGCGTGCTTAATAGAAAATCTTCTGAAGACAATGGAGACGGCAGAATAGGAGAAGTAAGGCATGAACAGAAATATAGGCCTTTACATACGTGGCGTGTAACTACTACCTGGATTATTGCCTGAAAATAAAGGAAGGCCAAATGTCTGCGACACTGGTGACGGCATTGGTGAGGATAACGGACATTTTCCCTTGACTTAGGCGCTAACCGACAGAAAACCAGTGGTGTGAGAAAAATTTAACTGGCGGTCTCTATTAAATTTATTCGTTCATTAACCGGAAATCGACCAAGCACCGCCATGTTCAACCTTATAGGCGCGAATGTAGTGAGGACAAATGTATAACCCCATAAAAGCAGTCCAGCTGCCACTCACTACATTAAGGAGACATTCAGAAAACCGAGTTAACTCAGTAACCGATAACATTTTCCATGGCCAACGTCAACTTTTTTCGACGTCGACGTCACGCCTCACGATCTACAGTTCAAAGTTATTAAGGAGGTCTTCCAGTTATTTTGACCAAGAAGCCTTTCGGAAGCGTCACATAAGACGTAGGCGAAATTAGCAAAAACCAATTCGGCCGACTGAACGCCAAATGGACTGAGGAGGAAAAGTGACTGTTGAAAGCAATGGCCTGAGCGTTTGTCACTGACGCATATCAAACTGCCTAAATCGTAATGGAATATTTACGACCGTGCACTACCAATGTAATAAAACGGAAAGAATAACTAAACATAGGCAACATTTCTAAGCGCAGAAACGGTGATGACATCTGGATTGTTGAGCGCGAAAACCAACTTTATCGCATAGCCACTGCTTCTGAAAGAATGTCATCGAAGTACCGACAAAATAAACCAAGGGGCGAAGAACTGATTTAAACAGAGTCTTCCCTAAGAGTGAAAACTTATAAAGTAGGTGCAACATAAGTTAGTGACACCTGGCGTTTATTGTTCAGATAATTCTTCAAATATCGAGGTTTTTTCGAAATTTATTTCTATTTCTGCTGTCAGCTACTGAAGTCGGGAAACCTACGATCTCATCCTTGGGGCGCAGTTACCCTTCATCAAGTACTGAATCAGTTTCCTGTAGAAGTATCAACTGGCTTTAGGGCTAAATGTCGGTGCGGCGTGTCAGTATATCTCTCTTAGCTCTCTTTTCATCTTTGAGTAATCGACTTTCTCTTGCCTCTGGTCTGCTTAAATGATCGCACAATTTTCGCGTTGTCGATAACCTTTTCCGATCTTAAAAGTGGCATGAGTGAGTACTTGCTTGTCTGAGTAAAGTGCCCTACGCAGTAAACCTTAAAAAATATTTGTATTTCTGGTGACACTTTACTCCAGGCTGAGTGCAGCGTACTCAATATAAACCTGGTCATCTGCGTCGTGTTAGCGCTCAGCGTGTTTTTTGATCAATTGTTCTTTTTCTTTTCCTTATTTCTTTTTAAGCTGAACGAAGCATCCCCAATTGATGTTAGGTTTTCTTACTGGAACTTAGTACCATGTTTAACAAAATGTACAAGGTAGAGTTGAAAACGATATTCGAATTTGCCCTCGGCTAGAGAAAGTTTCGAAAACTTTTCTAAAACTTTTATTGTTTAAATATCCCCGCCGCAATTCCCAGCCTATTTTGTTACCATGATGCGGTGTTTCGTACTGTGTAGAAATAACTATTTTAGACCTTTATTAGCCCAGACCTCTGTGCACCGTTCCCAATCCCGCGAGAAACGACAAAATTTTCGGAAAAAATGTCAGTGAGTGGGTGAAACGAAATTTTCAGGTAATTACTCCAAGGATTCAGGGCGCGCGGACAAGATCCCCTGATAGCTCGCACACCCAATATACTCCTTAACATCCTATGCAAGTTCGGACGAACTTCGTGTGTATAAAAATTTGGAAATAAAACTAAAGTATCATATTATTTATTGGATATACATGGCCTGTATGAGGGTTAGTTTTCTTTAGCACTGGAAATTGTAACCAACCTTGTCTTTCCATTAGTAACAGAATCAAAAGGAAAAGAATAGCCTTAGCTGAGTGATTTCAAGCCTTCCGGAAAACCTCCCCGTTAAACACGAGGCATGGAGACGGACTAATTGACAGTAAGGTGTTGTGACTGGACAAACGCTGTTACATTCTACGTGAGATTTGTTCACTGAGATTCCAAGAGCTCTGCAAGTGAAAAGGGTTATATTTAGGCCTCCATAGCAACTTCCAATGATAATAATATTGAATGCCAGCTAATAGACATCGTCAAAACAACTTCACAGAGTACATCGAGAAGGCAGTGAATAAAGCTCCTGACTAGTCATCGCATATTTGGTTGAATTTTGAATAACTGGGGCTGTTCAGGAAAAAAACTGCGGCCCAGGCAATGACGGGAGCCCAGAATAGGAATAGTTAGCATGAGTGCAGAGGAATTTTGCAGGTTTAATTCTTCCTTATGAGATTGGACTTATGCACCAGAAAAGGTTACATGTATGAACAGTCATCAAGTGCTTGCAGAAGTATTTATTCGCTGGGTGGCGTACTTCAGTCTCGGCACCATCCCTCTGGAAATGAGACCAGGCGGAAATGATAAAGACCGCGGAAGATATATTCGTGGATTTGGAAGCCACAGTTTATGCATTTTGTAAAAATAGTTGCGGGAATACCAGTCCAACAGAAGCGCAGATTTATTTCTGACTGAGACTGCAAACTGAGGAAGCCTCGAAGAGTTTCGTCAGTCGATATGGAGGCCAAGTTTCGTATTCCAGCAATCCGGAACTATTGCTGCAAAAAGTATCTTTGCGAAGTAGGAATGCAATGCATGCATTGAATAGGGCTCAGCAAAAGCCTAGAAGGATTACCTGCAACACAGCAATGGAAACACTAATGAAATGCAGCGGTATCCACATCTTTGCACGAAAGAACTGGCTTAAGTGAATTTAGTGGGTGATGTTTATTTTGGATTCTGCTGATTTGTAAAACAACTTTTGAAATGATTTCTCATTGTATTTTCCACTTGCAGAGTAAAATATTATATTTCTTTGGGGAGTCTCTATGTTCAACAACACGTTTGTCCTCTGTTTGTGGTAATGGAGAGCTCCAACTACCTCGGTTACCTTATGTCTTGTCGAAAAAAATAATGGACGCGACTTTACTTAGTGCAATAACTGTCGTCGTATGTATTACCGAGAGTTTGCCGCTATCAGCGTCTGAGGCCCTTAGGTGCACAATAGAGCGCAATCAAGCATTCACACCGAAATCGCCAAGATTTGTTCCTTACTGGGGTTACTGAGGTGACGAAACCGCTTGGATCGCACACGTCAGCAGGGAATAAATTAAACTATAGTCTATATAGCCAGATGCATCCAGTAAGGACGGGTAGTACACAACTGAAATTGAATTAGGGCGTATTCTGCAACCATATGTTAGGAGACAGCTAGATTGATTTCCAGAATAAATAAACGCGGAAATCCCAAATAAATATGTGTGAAGCAGCGGTGACAATTTCCGAGGTCATGTTTTTGTCAAAGTTTGCGCAAGCTAGGTATTACACATATCGAATTGCGTGACCCGTTCTTGACACCCATTGCTGCAAATATCTGTCATTTAACAATGCACACCTCTCTTATTGAATAGCGTTGAGCCGGAAGTAACCGTCCTCTGAGCGGCGACGGAGCAACGAATTCAAAACCAAAGCGGCTATAAATTTTGCTCATGGAGTATCCTCCAAGTAGGTCCACTGTATCGAAAAGTATGGACTCTTCCACTAATCAAAACGTTCTGACAATTGTTAACAGAACCAAGCAGGAAACTGTAAATTTACAAATCGGACTGAAATATCCGTTTACAAACAATGAGTACCAGTTTACAAAGGGCGGGTGATCTTTTGTCTTTACTTGACTCCTTAATATCGACTGTCCAAAGAAAAGTCCCTTTTACTGAGGACGCGACCATGAGCTCAACCCTTTAATATGTCTGAAGTCAGCTATCTCATTCTGACATGCTAAACTCCACAAATACGCTACCGGAGCTTGAGGAGGCGGTAGTTCACGTGAAGTCATTTGCGGTGGACTTCACGGAAACAGACACTCACTTTGGTCTCAACCATAAAATCGGCTAGGTAACATATGCTAAGGTGGTTGTAAATTTAATGTCACATGTAGTCTAATGCTTACTCCGCTTAATTTTCTTGAGCTAGGTCTCTGTTCACAGATTTTGTCGATTAAAAAATCCGGTTTGAAGAAAATTCGCGTCCTCTTCCTACTAGCATGTTGTCACCCTTATTAACTACAAAGTGACACATTTATGGAATCTTTGTCACCATATAAATCAGAAGTTATGGGTAGTAACTCCCAGTCGACGACTGGTTACCCAGCACTGAAAGGTAACGACACGGGAAAATGCCGGACCATGTGCCACCCTCTAAACCTGAAGGTCTTTAATCGTCCGCTGTCAGAATCAGCAATTCATGGCCCTCGCAGCCTGGTGCGAGCTGGCGCAGTCGTGAACAAAGCAAGTACGCCGGAGAAACCGGAAGACAGCCCCGAAAGCGAATGGCCGAGCACGCTGCAGTCGTGCGGAAAAATGACACCAGCTCTCAAGTTGCGGCTCATTCGACAAGATCCAACCACACAGTCAAATTCGACGAGGCCGAAATTCTCGGAAGAGGTGACAACCGCGTGAGCCGGGAGCTTCTTGATTCATGACTCATGGTCCACAGTCCATCAACAACTGCCACGACCTTCACCTTCAATACTCGGTGCTGAGACGTCGCCCAGGCGAAGCAATTAGCTTCGCGGGGAGCGCAGAGGTGAACACTTTTCCCAACGCCAGGGTCGGTAGGTCAGATGGTCGCGCAATCATCACACCAACATCCAACGCCCGTGATAAAATCGCAGCAATTAACGACGCGAATTTCGGCCATCAAACTATCATTACGCCGAGTATAACGATTCCTGATGAAAGGGCAAGTCGTGAATTTTCATGGATATGCGGTAGCATGGTGACTGCATCCTATAAATACTGCAGCCCCTTGTGCACGAACCACCCATATCTGCCCTTGTCTCTGATGATGGGTTTGAGAAAGGATCCGAAACGTCGGAAGAGAAAAGCTCTTGTCCCGATGATCGTGTCTCCTTATTCACTATTGCTTCCTGGGACTCCTCTGTTCACTTCTATTGATTCTGCCTTTACTTATAACTTCTGATTAGTCTGAAAAAACCCTAAGAACGATATAAGGGAGGTCGTTGTCCCTGGGGCCTTCCTTAGAAAGAACTGGCTACCGTCGCTTGTATTCAGGAAAGAAAAATGAACCTGATGGATGAGGCAATCGATTGAAATAAGTAAAATTAATTTCGACAGGACAGTTAAGAAACGGGATGAAGATGAATTGGAGGTCTGCGGACGATACTGCACAAACCAGGCCGGTGGTAAAACTTACTCTTCACGCGGTCTGGAGATAATTGGATCTCCTATAGTGATTATCAAGGGAAATTCTTAGTATCACAATAATTTATCTCCAGCTATAACTACTTTCAGACCTCCAGAAGGTTTATCAAGGGGAGTTTATCTAACTGACAAATGACGGTAACAGATTAGCAATTGAAACCTCAATGATCATTAGGATTTTGGCGACGGTGGACTCGCAAAGAAACGCGACAGAACCCCAACAAGGTTAGCCCAGACTAAAAAGCACTTTTTCTCAGCAGTTTCCCATCTAAAAGAGAAAACGCGTGTACCGGGATCCCACATACCAAAGGGGTCCTAACCCTCGAACACCGAAATTTGGCACATAAAGTACTCTGTGATCCCACAATTTGTGGTCCTTTGTGCTTTCGCCAATCAAAAAAGACTCGTTCTACTGATAGGGCTTTAAAATTGTCGTACTTTTAATCCGCTGGCTACTATAAGACATCACCCTTGGTGCAACGGTCAGGACGAGGTCATTTACTTCTTCCTCCGACACGTACAGTCACATATCTGCAGTTCTTTTCTTTTAAAGCAATTGCAAGTCTATCCTTTGTTTGGGGAGACTAACGCTCGATTTACGCATTCCGAAGAGATTCCACGATTCATGAATTCCAGATCCCCCGAATCTATCTTCCGCGGTCTTTATCATTTCTGCCGGGTCTCATTTCCAGAGGGATGGTGCCGACGCTGAAGTACGCCGCCCAGCGGAAAAATACTTTTGCCAGCAATGGGTGACTGCTCATCCATGCAACCTTTTCTAGTGCATAAGTCCAATCTCATGAGAAAGAATGAAACTGGCAAAGTCTTGCTGCACTCGTGTCAAATACTCCTGTCCTGGGCTGCAGTTTTTCCTGAACAACCCCAATTATCCAAAATCCAACAAAATCTCCGCTGACTAGTCAGGAACTTTTTTTCACTGCCTGCTCGATGCACGATGTACACAGTTATTGATATATCTCTCTTATATAAGAACGTTGGCAGGCGATTGCTTCTGTTGTGTTAAAAATATTTAATCGTTGGCTAAACGACCGACGTTTCAGAAACCTGACTGGGACAGCACATTTCGAAAACCTTTGTCGCATTTTCTGAAATGTTAGGCCTCAAGCCCTGCCCGTTCACTCAGAAAACAATGGGTAAGTTTGGTACCGCTTTTCATTAATTTCAAGACTAACCACCTAATTCTGGAAGGTAGAGAGCCATAACAATTCTCTGCGGCAACGAATTTTGACAGAATCGAAAGAGGAAAACCGACGTAAATCAACACAGGTAACTACAGAGGGTGAAACCACTTCTTTCAATAGTGAAAAAGAACAACGCATTTATAATGACAATCAGAAAAGTAAAACACTACCAGGAAGACCGCTGGGTCAGTCCCAATTTTTGAAACCGATTTCTAAAAAATGCCTCGTGAATTGGAGAATCATGTGCAGGACAAAGAAACTACTACCCACCAGAAAAACTTAAACCAGCAAAGCAAAAGGATCATTTGTGTTACTACCGCTTCCTTCGGCTCAACAATAGATAGCTAGTCAACCTGACGTTGTTTTCATGAGTGAATGCATCGCACCCGGCATTCGATAAAATGAGATATACGCCAAGTGCCAGAAGCTCGTCCTTGATTATCGTCTTTTGAAAACATAAATTAAAGCGCCCTTCACGTACTATGTCCTCGTTCCAACAACAATGCATTGAGAGGGACAAAGGGCTAGTTGTTTGAATCTTATCTTCACAAAGGATCCTGGCATTGTAGGTGTGGTATATTATCTACCTCAGCTCAGTTGAAGTGGTCGTAGGGTATTTTTATGGGAGTACCGTCTATATTCTTTGTCATATGCAGCGACCATAATTAGGTCAGATATATGACCCGAAAGCTTTTGCCCAGTGAGGACGGAGGCATCACGTAAAGACTGTGATGTTCTCTTCTCCGGAAACATAATGGAGGACTGCGAGTTCTTCAGGAAATGTTTGCTACATTTCATCAAGAGTAAGCAACCCCTATAAAAGCCTAGGAAAACCAGTCGACCTCAGTTCCTGGGACGAGAACTTAAAATAAGAGCAACAAGCAGAGAGAACTACAGAAGTAATTTAGAGGGAACTACGAAACCCCAGTGTTTGAGGAATTCAGAGCCCATAGAAGCGTGCTTAAGGACTTAGATTTTAAAAGGGGAGGAGAATTCGAGATTTTTTTGTTCGCAATCGAGCTATTAGAAACTCCAAGTAGACCAAGAACGATAAGGATCCGATCCTTATTATGAGGGACGATGAGGGCCTCATGATATCGGGCAGTACAAAGCGAGCCGGGTAATTTCCTCGGTTTTTGCAATCTGTTTTCACGCGGAAAACGGATTTTGTTCCACCTGACCAGTAAGCCATGAGAACCTAAACTAATAAAGGCATTATATTTCTCGAAAAAGGAATTTTTAGAGCTAGTGATTATGAAAAGGTAGGTAATCTCGTCACCAGAATACGATTCTTGCCAAACTCCCCTTTTATCATGTCGAAAACTGAGCAACTGTTATCCGTGTTATTCCAGAAGTCTTTTGCTTACGAAGCACCTCCCGACAGACTGGAAACGGCAGAAATTACACCCATTAACAAAATTGGCGGTCACCAGCCGAACCTCAATCTATCGTAAAGTCATAAAGAAGGCTGTCAAAAGGGACTGAGAAGTTGGTTGGATTCCCACAATCTTCTATTCAATGCATTGATATTCATTAATATTTTGGCAGATTTTGAATAATTAATATGGACCCAACTGTGAAAAACTCGGCGCCTCGGTGGGATTCGAACCCACGCAGTAAGGGGAAGGCTTTAGCGCCCAACATAAATTTTATAGGAGAACTAACTTTGCGCAGTTCGAACCTGGTCAGCGGTAAATTTCATCATAAGCAACTTCCCCAGAAGCTGTCTATAATCCGTATCAGAGATAAACTTATTTAAATAATCGAAAATTTCCTCGTCAGTCGTTCTCGAATTTTCTGTGTAGCAAAAAATTCAAATTCAGTTCCTCTTTCTCTTGTTCAATAATGACTGTGTGAAGAAATGGACTTAAAAAGTTTAACGTGTGCGGATTACGACGGATGCTTCTCCAATGCCTTTAGAACATTTGCAAGGCCGCACACTGATGATGTAATCCGGGTCTGACGATCCTGGATGCAGTAGGATTACGGTCTAGTGTATTCTCGGCCGGAGTTCTAATACCTACCTTGGTCGGAGTGACTAATGTGTTATTTTCTGAAAGTATAGTCACTTTTCTGTACATGAAATTCAAGTACTCGAGAAGCAAATAAACAGAAAGGGGATCAGTTGAAACTGAAACGACAGCTGAATGAGATAGACTGGAAAGCTGCGCTAACGTCTGACCCAAACATCGTCTGGTTCTTCTTAAAGTCACTGATTCAGTGCATGATGAAGAGTTACTGTTCGCTTAGGATGAGGAAGTACGTCTCTCGACTTCAGTGAATGACATAAAACATAAAAAGGAATACCTAGATAAGAAGGAGATTTCAAAAAGATATTCCAGGTGTCCACAATTTGGGTATTTGTCTAATTTAGAATAAATAAATGGACAAACAAATTGTTTTGTAGAAGACGACGTAAAAATGTTGAACGCTGCTAATAAAGGAGAGAACAAGCAAAAGTTTTGGCTATGTGTGTTGAGCAAAGCGTGATCGAGGCCCCCGTCCCCATCTTAAGGATGAAAAGGGAAAGAGGTAGTCGATAACTCAGGCTTAATGACCCTCTTATCAGATTTCCTGGGATCCGCCTTTTCTAAGGAGCCTGCTTCCGACGACCGATCACACTGCAAGATTACCATACTTAACGATACAATTATCGTATATCAGGTCAGATGTAGCCCGCTAAATTGCCTTGTGTGGACGGCCTCTACACAATAGTTTTAAATAAGGTCTCCGGCCACGTAACTTCCGAGCTCTTGAAGATATTAAAACTTTGAGGGAGGTCGGGGCTCTATCTAGTAATTGAAAGCAAGCTTACATAAATCCGTATATATAGGTGATAAAAAACCTTATCAAATGGCTCCATACTCGTGAGCCTTACAAGTATCTTCTAAAACCTAATGGAGAACACCATAATCAGAAAGGAGGGAGGACGGACTTGCGTAGCCTCCACCAGCATGGCTTTAGAAGTGGACGATCCTCTCATCCGCGTAAAACCAGACAAACTCCTTCAAAATGCGCCTATAGGTGGGTGCAGTTTAATTTTATTCCAGCAGAGCTTTTGATAGAGTTTTATAGAGACGACTGATACTTAATCTACGACAAATGGCTGGCAGACGTTTTCTCAGGTGGATCTCAGCGTGTTTTTATTGACAACGCCGAATTGGGATGGGCAACCATCTATAGTGGAATGTTCCACGGGAGCGTTCTTGGTCCCGTTCTGCTTTTGTCATATGTTGACGATAGTCTGTATTGTTAAACTTCTAGTGCTACCGTTTGTTTATAAGCTCAAGTAATGAAAACGATAGGAGGGCCAAAAGGCGCGCTAAATTTGCAAACTAATTGGGATCGAATGCAACTATGGAGTGGTGAATAGTTCCTGACCATCAACTTAAACAATGCCAAGTTATCTAAATTCGATCCGACATCAGAAGGACGAGGCAATTTGAATTTTGCAACGTTACTGGAAGTCATCAACTTGAGTCAGACAATCAGCTGGGAGACCTTGGTGCGGAAATGACGTCCATTCTCGGACATCGTTCCCTTGTCCCGGGATATCCTCGGTCAGATCAGGAGACCGTTCCTTAAATTTGACGAAGAGGTTTTAAGACAGCTGTTCGGAATATTTATTGATTTAATGTTAAGGTATTGTGTCGGTGCGCGACGCCCCTTGGATAAAGCAAACTTACACTCTTTTGGAGAATGTATGACAAACAGTGACCGAAGATTGGTCCAGGGCACGGACCACGAAAGGCCTAAGTCGGTTGAAATCATCTCAAAAAATATGACAGTAGCGGAGGTACAGATAGAACTGTGGGTAGATTGGTACAGCTAGCTTTTAGGTTTATTCTACCTTCATTTAACCAATCTCAATACAGACCAACGCATGAGACCAGAAACACCTGCATGTGCATACACTATGCTTATTTAACACAGAAAAAGTCCTTTAAGCAGATCGTAAGCACTTCGTTTAACAAATGTTCATCAGTGCCTCGTCTCTGCATAAAGGACACTCGTGTATGAGAAATAGGCGCTCGCCGATTCATTGGATTCCGTACCTGTCCATGACTCCTGCATCAGTCAACCTGCATGTTTGTCCCTACCTCACCTGATATCGTATCTTGGACGAGGTCGACCTGGTCGATGGTTGCCCGTTCGCAATCTCTGACATCCGTTGGGAATTTTTTCCTTAGGGATCCAACTGATCAGTGTGAGAAAATTTGTGTATAAGCATAATATCGTTTGGCACCTACGCATGAATTTGTTTATGTATATATTTACGCAGAATAGGAATCATCCTTTAAATGAAGGTGGGAGTTAGTGTAGCATTTAATGAACAATCAAAAAACTCAGGGGGGCCGAAGCACTAGAAGAGAGTGGGGAAAAATCAATATATAATACGCAAAATGCAAAATAGGTTCACAAGTGGCAACAATGGCAAGTTCTTGTTTACGTCCAAAACGTGGTAAAGTGTTAGCCGGTCTTCCGTGTTGAAGGTAAGCTTAGGAATATGGATTTGGCAAATGCGAGCAAATATTCCACATGAAACTAGCTGACTGGGATATACTGTAACTTAAGCTGAAGACATTTCGGCTTCTGAGGAAATGGGCTTATTTGCCCGACATTTAGCCCAAGTGCCCAGGCTCATCACAAGAAAATGAAGAGATTTGCTGTCATAATGAGAGTCGAAGCGATGCCATAAGTTCTTTACTATCTGTAACAAAAAATAATTGCTGCAGATGCACAAGTGTCATTTAAGTGTTAATTCCTTCTTTCGTATACACTGCCTTTATCCGAAGCATGAACTACGAGGCCGTTAAACCCTCTGACTCCAAGGTTGTCAGGTTCTGTGGGCCGCCAAGTGTTTACGAGTAGAGAGATCTACTGAGGCCGATTTTTGTAACTACCGATGGTCCCACTTCCTATCTGGTTAGGTGGTTGTCCAGTAGATCCAGTCTTCTCGATAAGGCTTCCAACACCACCACATCAAGTCTCCATTTAAATGGCCTTAAGCTAGGAAAGCGTGGTGCTTTCAAACGTCACGAATCCGGCTTACTCGTAAATTGTTGTAAAAGCCGTAACCAGCTGTTTGGCGGGCCGACCACTGTCCACCTGAAGTAGCATTCGAAGGGTTTCGTTTAAAGAGGCCTATTGCCACAGAGGGAGGAATGAACTCCTTCAATCTTGCCTGCTGTTTTACTTGTTGACTGTACCATGCCTTGCATTAGTGTCCACTCACATATGCCGAGATCCTACTGCCCCTTCTTCTTTGACTGTACCATGCCTTGCATTAGTGTCCACTCACATATGCCGAGATCCTACTGCCCCTTCTTCTTCTTCTTCTTCTTCTTCTTCTTCTTCTTCTTCTTCTTCTTCTTCTTCTTTTTCTTCTTCTTCTCCTTCCTCTTCTTATTCTGCTGCTGCTGCTTCTTCTTTTCAAACATTTCCATTTCGACTGTGAGGAAGCTGAGTAATACTCGACTGAACTGTCCAACGGTCGCATTACCCTCAGTAACATAAAAAATCAGATATTGCATCCATTTACAGTCAACCATCGGTGGTTGTCTGTCGTGTGCTACATCTGTCAGTAAAATAACTGATGATGACTGTTTGAGCGTTAAGCCCAGTCTCAGCTAGCAGGAGTGAGATAGTTTCTTCACCGTTTATCCGTTGACCCCTACAATAAACATCATGCAAGCTTTAGCCACTGCATTTAGGGCGATCGGGGCTGATATAGAACAATTATAAACCGATTATGTCTACGGAAGATTCCGCTTTATGTTTATTGATACATTTATTCCGACATTTAGATGGCGGCGTATTTAAGGTTTTTTTACAAGGGCTAGTTGCACAGAATACTTGGGATTCATGATATTCTGTGCAACTAGCCTTTGTAAAAATAACCCTTCAATACGCTGCCATTTAAATGTCGGAATAAATGTATCAATAAACATAAAGCGGAATCTTCCGTAGACATAATCGGTTTATAATTGTTCTATATCAGCCCCGATCGCCCTCAATGCAGTAACTAAAGCTTGCATGACGTTTATTTTAGCACGTATATACGCACTCCCCTTAAATGTATTCGTGTAAAGTGTCTACTCATTCGATTTGGGTAGCTTGACATACATCAAAAATAATATTTGAGACCGTTAACAGCGCTCTCTTCTTTCCCCGTCTTGGCATAGAAACGTCCCCCTTCACCCAATAAACCGTGTTTTGAAGAAGAAGAAGACACGATCGTCGGGACAAGAGCTTTATTAGCCTGACGGTTCGGATTCCTGCTCGAATCCATCATCAGAGACAAAAGCAGATAAGGGTGGTTCATGCACATGCGGCTGCAGTATTTATAGGATGTAGTAGCCATGCTACCGCATACCTATGAATATTCACGGCTCCCTTCCCTTCATCCGGGATCGTTGCACGTGGCGTGATGGCCGACATTCGGGTCGTTAATTGCTGCAATTTCATCACGTGCATTGGATGTTGGTGTGATTATTGCCCGACCATTTGACGCGCTGACCCGGGTGTTGGGAAGTGTTCACCTGTGCGCTCCCGGCGTGGCCAATTACACCGCCTAGACGAATGCTCAGCACGGAGTATTGGATGGGAAGATCATTTCACTTTTTAATAGACTGGGGGCCAGTAAACCATGACTCAGGCAGCTCCGTGCTCCGGTTCATGCACATGCAGCCGCATATTTCATGGAAAACATGCATAGAAATACCCATTCTCCTACTCATTCGGTAGAAAAGTACGTCTTCTTTCAATTTTCTACTCGAAGGAAGGCTATAATTCGGTTTTTAAAAACTGTTTCCAAGTCCTGGATAATTTTGAACTCAGCCTGCCGTTAAACTTGCATTCGGGGTTTCAAAACAAAAAGCCGTACATATTCCGCGCACGGAAAACCATACATTCATTTACGGTATTAAGAGGAGACCATATGGGGTTCATAAAAGTAAGCAGTGAAGTTGAACGAGGTTGTTGACTTTAAAGGCCACATTGGTTACTGCAGAGACGTGACGTTGTATGAACAGCCATTTTACAGTACAGAAAATCACACAATTAGAAACTTTTTTTATATCCGAATTATACCCTTCCTTCGAGTAGAAAATTGAAAGAAGACGTACTTTTCTACCGAATGAGTAGGAGAATGGGTATTTCTATGCATGTTTTCCATGAAATATGATGGAATTTCCAAGGCCATTGAAAATCACTGAGAAAATGCATGATACTTATGTAGTCATATTTTACAGAGTATAGTTTTTCATACAGCCGGAAAGAAGTTCGTTCGAAAGCCGGCATCCTGAGGTCACTGATTTATTATAGTATTCTGCTGCATGTTGATTAGTTTTACAACCCTAATTAATATTTTCGAAACAAAAACGCACTTAGGAATTTCAGTTTGCATTTTATGGGTAAGCCCACCTACTGTAGGTTCATCATCGACGCTCAAAGCCGTCAGTGATGTCGATAGTCACTCTGTTCGTAAACAACATACCGAACTTCACATGAGAAGCACTATTTAAAAGAGTCCTTATTTCCGTTTTTGTGTAGACTTACGTATATTAATAGCCAGCCTATTCAGAAAGCGCAAGCTGAATATTTTAGGCCGACTAAGAACAAAAAGCCGGCGACATTTGGGATTTCAATTTGATATGTACTCCATATTTTCATAAATTCAATCTTTACATTCCCTTCGGGACGCGAAGGTACTCTTTTTAGGTTCGTGAGATCCTAGCTGTCGCGTTCACATTATGGGATCGAGCTTCGTCAGCGAAAGAAGGCAAAAAACAACTTCTGCTTCGTCATCAGTCTGACAGCAGCTAAGCCCTCGCAAAATATAACGTTATGAGAACCCCACCGACTGTAGGTCTAAACTTCAGCCGACCTGACAACAGGGGTAGAAAAACAGAGCCGTTAACTCCTCGTCGGAAATCATGTGACCAGAGGAGTCCCTTCAGATTTGGTTTCCCATAAAGCACCGTCCTTTAGGGTTTTTTAAAATGAATATGACCAGCTACGAAAGACAAAGTATTGCTTGCGCTAAAGGTCCTAACCGTTTTCCATAGAGGTGTGGCCTGTTAATTGCAGAAAATAAGGGGCTGCTAATTGAGGATACCATGAAAATTAGAATCATTTTACGTACGGTTGTAACCTCCGACATTCCAAAGGCCTATGTGTTGAATTAAAAAGCCCCCTTCACTTTTGAAAATTCGATTACATCATCCAAAACACGAAAGTCAACGAGAAAAATCCTAACCGGTAAAGTTAACATGCGTCTGCAGGCCTTGGTCAAGATACAGAGAAGAAAAAGCCTTAAATGCACACTGACTGTCGTGCAAAATTAAATAACAAATTTTTTTAACCGCACGGTTTTATAAACTAATTAACAGTTGAGATATAGACGACATGATGTGAGTCATTGCTTCTCTATGCACTATGCCTGACCAAGCACTGTGTCCCAGCTTTTCAGTTTCTGAGGCGAGAAAATCACGAAGTGGGCAGGCATCGGGTTTCAATACTTTAATTTTTGAGGTTAACATTTAGACGTTCTCAGACGCCGAACCTTTGTAGTCCATACAGTCAGTAGACAATGAATATGTCGAAAAGATAATTAATATTTTCATTCGCAACTACAACTATATATATCATGAAATCACATTCTTGTCTTTTGGAAATTCTGTGGAACTTTTGTTAATTTGCAAAAGTTTCATTGTTTTTTTTGGATCACTGCGCCGTTAGGAGTTATATTCCCAAGCCGTGCCTAGAACGCAAAATATAGTGCAGTGTAGAGTTTTCTTCCTTGTTTTATAAAATGACGGTATAGGAGGAATACATAAAAGAAAAGATACATAGATCTGATACCGTATTACAGCGATGAAGACGTTGCTGTATAATCAGATTAAAGCCGAAATGAAGGCTGATATAATCAAGTAAGCCAGAAATGACTATTCCTGTCATCCTATATTTGTGGGTAAAAACCCTAAAGCAATTATATTTAAGAAGACATTATACCAACGGACTTACTAAATGACCAAATTAACATATTTTAGAAATGGCTCAATCGAATTCGTCAAAAGGGAGGAATCGGGTTGATTTTAATGGTCCCTATAGACTGGGACAAGTCTTTGCCAAACATATCTACGGTCGTGCAATCGACGTTGGCATTTATTTATCTTATTTGGGTATTTCGCACTCCAGACTTGGTAATATGGGGGTAGATGTTTCAGACCTGATCATTTTTCTTTTACTAACATATCATGTTCGACCGCGTCCATAGACTAATGAGATTCGGCAGCAGCTATGCCGAGGTTACTTGCGCTCTGCATGTGAAGAATTGATTCAGCAACGGTACCGAGCCGTTGAGACGATGTCCTGTGCGGCAGCACCCAAGGCAACGCCGAAAACGACCTCTTGCAAAGAACGCTATAGCTAAAACATCGGCACACGACTCGACAATGGAGTCAAGCGCATACAAATTGCGCAGGTATACGTGCATGTGTGTCAGACAAGGTCCTCGCATAAATTATGCGAGGACCTTGTCTCTCTCTTTCTCTCTCTTGATGTGTGTGGAAATTTCTCGGTATCGCTTACTCTTTAATATTTCCTTTTGCGGTCCGTTGGGAAGGTAAGGACCACAAATGACGGAGCAGACGACGACTCTTCGTAAACCGCAGACGAATTTCCGACTTTGTATGGGCATTGTTTAGGCCCTAATAAAAGTGTGCTAGCTCTGAGTAGCTCGATAAGGGTCCAGTTGAGCTGCTTTAGCTAGCATTGCTGACATACTTTTGCAACATAACTGATTGGAGAGGCCGCGTTTGATGTCACTTTTCGTAGACTCCAATTTTTTATTTCACATCTCCGCATGCAACCAACTTCGTAAATGCCTCGTCTTCTCGGGAAGAAAAGTACTACTGACAAAACAAAGGAGACTTCGATGGTCACTTTGTGGACTATGCACCTTATTAAGTTGAAATATACCGAAAACAGGTCAAGAATGATCATTCCAGGCATTATTTTCTTTGCCGACGGTGCAGTTAGACCACTGATTACCGGTTGTCGTATGTCCAACTGCGAGGGCTTTAAATGTGCGGACGTCGACGTGTACAACAGCTCGGGCCTGCATCCCCTCCTGCAATTAGACCAGATCAGCAACGGTCACTCGCAGGCGTCCTGTACCTGCTCTGTTTAGAATCGTAAGACCCCTTATCGGTTTCCCTGATCATCTAAGAGAACAGCCGGACATATACAGAGGTGAACCTGGCCTCGTGAATGACAGCACTGCCTAATTACGATAGGTATGCGCTACAAACAGTGAGAACTCGGCTCATGACGATTCGTCTTATACTTATCAACGTTCTTTGTCCCTTTACTTTAAAGGCAACAGGCTACCATATGCAGGGAGTATATATTTCTAGGGGCTACAGAAGCCATTATGTGTCCGACAGACCATGAACGTAAGGACAGTGTTCAGATTGTATGGGATTTTTTCCTGGAGGTTTTTATTTATGAACTGTCTGCAGTGCACGTGTGTCACCGAGTGTCGGAAAAATGCCTGCAAATGACATTCTCTGGCTCTTGTGGGCTTGATGTGCGGTGATTTTATGCTTCTAACACCGTCCTAGGACAGACAGTAGTGTTTCTCCAGCGCATGAACTCCCATGGGATTAACATAGATTTGTACCAAATAGCACTAACTGGGCTTTGTCAAGAATGCGGAACAATCTTAAGGAGGGTTCAAGGCGAAACGTAGAGTTCTGACGACCTTGGGATATGAACGTCAGTGATTATCCACTTATATTCCAAAAATTAAGCCTCGGTATCTAGGAGGGGGAAGGTGATCATTTCTTTATTTGTGAGCTATCAGCTAAATTAGAAAGTCCCTCCTCATAGTTTCATTATTGTGGTAGAGTTCAATGTTAAGGGACGTTTCTAGGTGAAAAATTTGGTCCTGAAGTGCCCTAAGGACATATTTTAAATGCAGCCCAATTTTATTATGTCTGTTGTGACCGATACATGCAATCCACAATGTAAGCCCCTAGACTTCCTTGGCTGGCACCACAACATTAAGATGGTGTTCCCAAGCGCACAGAGCACATAGACAAACTTAAGTAATCTACTTTAACGGTAGTCTAAACTGACTGGATGGTCTTCTGTCGGTATTTCGTTGTTTAACCACGGACTTCAGACCTTCGTAAACAGTGCCTTTTTGACTACGTCGGCATAAAAAGCAAGATTAAAACAAGCTCCAGAAGTGCAAATAAGATCTACGGTATAGTAAAAGTGATTCCTTAAACCTAAGGCAAACTTTTTTTATTTGAACACAGACCACGGCCGAACACTTTTCTCACCCGAATTAGAGACAATCAATTTCGCTTCCTTCGTACATCATCTCATGTATTCTGCACAGAGGACATGCGAGTACCAGGAAGTAGTTGGGATGGATACCCGATCACTGGGACAGGAATTTTGCCTGCTCGGCATTTTGGATACGCACCTAAGCCCGCCATCAAATGAGGGTTAAGGTTGCAAAGGCGGTGAAGCATTTATAGACTGCTTTACCAAGCGCCTACTAAGATAAATAGCCTCCGTATTCATTGAAGATATTCGTAATTGGCACGAATATTGTATGGTCGCTGGTATCCGAGCCAATAGTGACCACCAGTTCATAATTGGTGATCGCTATCGGGATAATAATTACCCGACACTTTGGTTGATACCGGATGCAGAGCCCACTCCCGCGCTCCACACATGACCAGTTACCCAGACCAGGCAAGATATAGCATTGGATAAGGTGACGAAAAATCCTCAAAGAAATTCCGAAGGAGAAGGGTTCCTCGTCTTAAGAAATTAAAGTTCATAAGGTTTAAAAATCACTCAACTGTTTCGCTAATTTTTTTCTGAACAAAATACCAATATGATGAAGACCAATTTAGCCTACTTCTTATACATTTTAACTTGAGGAATTTCGCTTACAAAGTTAGCGCAAAACTTTATTAAAAGGTATTTTTATTGGCCTATTGTTTCCGATGCTATTTTGCAGTATTTTCGAATTTTGCCTATGCCGTAGTGCATTAAAAGATAGTAAAGAGACCATGTGCTTAGCAAGTGAACATGCCGCAATCTGAAACAAACCCAGATTGCAGAAGGCCACTGAGTACAAAGACTCCCGATCCTTGCTGGCAGACAGCGAAGCCCTACCTGTGATATTAGAGCACTTGAGGCTTACCATTCTCGAGTTGACAGAAAATTTCATACCTCAAGTCCTTACGACCTCGAAAGGTTTGTTTTATTTAAAGGGTCAGACTTGGTTATGGAGCCCCACCTGCAGTAAACAAACTCCAGCTACCTGTAATACGGGAACGGTGGTAATAGGGGTTTTTTCAGGTGGGACCGGGAACGCTCAGGCGATGAGGTCAAGTTGTTGTATCCAAAAAAGCTATTGGGAATGCGCGGTTGTACTTTGAATGGGTGAGAAATAGTTGCGCTAACACCCAACCCTAACTCTAACCTCTAACCCGAACGCCTAACTCGAACCCCTAACCCTCACTCCTAACCCTAACCCCAACAGTATTGCGTCCATCAGGTGGGGCTATAATCACATCTTACCATTTGAAGCAGTAAAGTTAAACGGAAATGACAGTTCTAGTGTCTGTCTCTTTGGTCGCATGCATTCAGCTGAGTGAATGGTCGCTTTAGGCGACAACTGTAGGAGAGATTTTCACTATGCCGTGATAAGAATGAATCGCCATTGGAACCAATTGTCTTTTGTTCTGTATTTCCTAAATCGGTATTTTGAAAAAAAACTTGATCTTTATGTTGACAAAAAGTCTCTAGCTTACAAGAATCTATTAACCTGGAGGAAGAGAAGGCAAAATGGTCAAAATAACGGGTCCATGTTTCGCTTTCTATGCCTACTTAGGCATTTTAAAGTCAGTGCTTGGTTGCTCCATTTGCCTCTCTAGAAAAGGTAAAGAGCGCGTTCGTTTTGGACTTAGTTGCATCGTTTCTATTAGGAGGGTTACTTTTTGGAGGGCCAAGAAAAGTATACAAAAAAAAATATCTGACACTGTTACTGGAAGTAACCTTTTTTCTCTGTGTGTCAAAATACCAACTCTAGGCCGTAGAACACAATTGGTAAAGTACTGGGGCCAGAATCGTTAGAGTTAGCACACTTGCGTCAGTGATATCTAAAGGCGCGGTATCTCTAGCTAGTGACGCAGGTCGAAGCTTCATTGGTGGAACGCAGTTGGCTGGTTTCTGCTCGCATGTGTGTGTGTGCGTCTTCCGATGGCTCCGAGGGGCTGCTCAGAGTCGCGGTTGTGCTCGCAAGTACCTGGAGTCGCGACTAATGGTATGCACCAAACGGCGTGCCAATGGTGCTTACGGTACATGGGCGCACGCTCGTGAGGGTGAGGCGTGTGCGCTTTCAAAGGGGTGAAGCCGATTGACAACACACAATTCTGCCGTTCTTAAAGGACGCTTACATTTGCCGGTCGGTGACTCTACAGACAGAGATGGAAATTCGAAGAGTGGGTTCTGGATTTTTGGGCGCTGCCATAATTCTTCTCATTATCGGCGTGGCCACCGATAGCTGGCTGGGTGCAGGTCTCTTCCGCACGAACGACCACACTCGTTTGGCAGTCGGTGCACTGCTTGTGGTGGGCATAGTCCTCCTGGCGATCGCTTTCATTCTGAGCATTGTCTCTCAGTGCCAGAATCCCGTGGCTGGAGGTGTGCATTTGGCTTACTTTATTACGCTCTACCTGGCGGTGACCTTACTGCTGATCGGAATTCTCGTCTTCACCGGATTCAATGGAAGGAACTGGTCCTACTTCTTGGCCACTATTGGCTGCACCATCGCTCTGCAAGCAGCTATTCTCGCGGCCGTCTTTTCGCGCTGCCGAACCTCAACATCAACGACCATTCGTCATGAACGTGTGATTCGTACTCAGTCGTAGGCCCAGTGCTGCTGACATCAAGGTTTGATCATCCAGCCCATTTCTCCCACAAACCATTTTACTGTTATGTATTCTCTATGGGCAATACATACTTACGACCTCTTTGTCTTACGTTTACTATTTCGCGCAATTCCAGTCAGTTTTATCGTACATATCGGTACTGCTACAACCCTAGTGTCTTTTGACTGTGAATTATGAAATTCAGATAACGCGTATTCAGAAGACTGCGTTGATAATATGAAGCCATTAATTATTAAGGATCAGCAAAAACCGGGGACACGCCTAATGAACAAAACAACAACCGGAGGTCGTCACTTACAACCAACTAAAAGCTCTCAAGCTTACATGCAGACATAGTTTAGACGAATACACTGGCTATCTTATTTCGGATTTTAGCCTATCGGAGAAATTTTGGACCTTTAAGCTTGTCACGAGAAGCATAAGTGAGAAACGAGTGGTGTCTTTAAGGAAGTTGACTGTGGCAGTTCTACTTAAAATGACGCCAAGACCTTATTTTGGCCAAAGTGCAAGAAGCAAAGCTTCCTTACCGAAATCCGTAAAAATAATCAGAATATTTTTTTGGACACGTCCAGATATGACTTAAATCAAATGAGTGAGTCAAAACTGGAGCACCTTTTGTGAACTACAATCCCATGATCAACCGGTGTGCTCCATCCCGTACATCGAAGCCTGAGATCTATGTTAATAACGTGCCTAAAGGAATGGAGTTGGTATCTTAAAGTCCAGTTTTTAGATTTGTCTCCATGATATCTCAGGGGAATTTTCTAGTACATTGTGACGGTTAGGATAAATGCTGTACCCTAACCACCAAAACCACTAAACCCGGTCCACCATGATAAAGATATATGAGGCACCGGTAGGTGTTGCTTCCGTGCAACCCAAGCGACCAATGCGCGTTGGCTGTTGACCAAGAGCGCACGTCATTTGAACTTGTGAGACCGCATTCGTCTACCATCAGTGAGAAAGCGACAGATAAATCTGTTGACATCTGTGCTTGAATAGCCTTGGTAAAGTAGTATTCGATAAAAGCGGTGATGTTATGAATTATGACGCTCCGGGATGTGAATGTCAGTTACGAGCAGAACGCTGAGAGAGAGGGTATCTACCTAAAAGTGGTCTGAAGAAATGTGGCAGGAAATTTCGAATGAAGGGCCACTTTTACTTCCCGTTAAAACTTGGTTGGCGATTTCATAATGGCAAAGTTAACAGAATTTGAGTTTTTGATTTTACCAAGATGGTAAACCCTGAGCTGAAAACTCTAAAAACACTATACTAACGAGCATGACTTGGTACGATTATAACAGACTAAGTTAGCTCATTTTATCCAGATATATGACGCACATTTTATTTATACTTAGATACTCATGCTCTGCCCATTTTGCATGGAGTCATCAAGGTCAATTTCAATAATTCCATAAAAATTGGGTTCGACAAATTTTGCATACATTCATTTCTACATTTAAGGAGCTTCACTGTAAAACTCCCTACAGATAAAACAAGCCGAACGTGCAGAAATATCTGCCACTTGGCAAAGGGTGACAATCAAATCTCTGTTTACTATAGAAGACAATCACTTTTTAACGAAACGTTTTGGCATTTAGCACTAACACAATCAAAAGGACTAACTGGGACCGATGGAGGTGAACGCTAGCATCTAAACTGTCCCCCATTAAAATATGCTTCCCACCACCGAACAGATATTTGTTGGACGGAATGGCCCAGACATCCGTGGAGTTTTGTCGAGTGTCTTTCTTGATAAGTCGTCCGTAATCATTTGAAATTATGATTTGTTGTGGTTCGCCGAAATAGTCTTATCATAACAAATCATAAATTTCAAAAGACGAGGAGGCGTACACTGGGAGAGGTTTATTAGAGGTCTGACGTTTCGAGTAGTTACTTCGTCTGCCTATCTTCAGAAGGTAGGAAGTCATGTGCACAGCGTAGTACACAGGGTACTTCATATTTCAGACCGAGCATGCTCGGTTGCTCACCATCTAACATACTAAGAAACAGGACGGTGCTTTCTGGTTTAAATTCGAGCTTCTTTTATTCCCACTCGCACAAACTATGTAGAGACGGCGCACGTGTTAGCACCGTTCGTCAAAAGTATACAGGGAGGTCTCGACCTTAGCATTCATAAACAACGGTGCGTTTAAGTTGGAATTTAGCCGGAGAGAAAAAAATGCCTTGACGTTCGGACGGTAACGCCCTAATGATATCGTAAATAGCTAGATAACCTAGAGATCTATTTAAAATCCCACAAAACAGACCATGAATATGTGATTAGCAAGGAAGTTTGTAGCCTGTAAAGAATTGATGTTGTCTTAAATGTACTGTAATTGTTCACGAAAAAGTAAGTCTAATTATTTGAAATAAAACATTTTCCATCAAGTGTTTAAGTCGACTTTCTAGCTTTTCGCATAATTTCGAACAGGATACGGATAAAAATCAAGTCATTTGGTTCAAAATTGTTTCCATGTCTATGTAATCTAGTCCCATGCATCAGACTCATTCTTATGCACGTAAAGGGTTTGGAATACTGAAACATCTATATTATGCGTGCTCTATTTAATAGGGCTCTGCAGAATGCTAACTCCTAGAAGTAGATTCATTTAAACGGTAGAGGGGCTAAATCTACAGGCAAGTTAGGTGTCAAGAGGAAAACAAGTCAAGAAACATAGTAATTTGCACGGTTTTGGAGTTGGTAAATATGCGCCGTTATGAGCTTATTGAATATAGATGGCATGGCAAAAGTATCGTGTTTTCGTGGTTAGTAATTGTTCTTATTTTCAAGAATCACCTCTAACCTCGTGTAAACATCTGCTACGCGACTACAGAAGAAAGTATAAGTAAACAGGGTAGCCGAGAGTATATACGACACCACTAATCCCAAAGGCATATAAAGGAAATGATTCAAGGGAAAACGGAATCAACAATCTGATCATCTAACTGACAAGAGAAAACTGATATCTACACAAATATAGGCATTGGGGTTTGTGAATACCCTGTGACAGTTCTACCAATCGGCATGAAATTGGAATTTCCCTGTTTATTCCATCTGCATGACAATGAGTGCGTTTACATTTTGCCTGTGGACCCAAACCGAGAGTCGCAGAAGGCGATTGCATTGAGAGCGGCGACCGGTAATGGAAAACCGTTACTGGCAACGCGATTTCGCAGCTCGGCCCCCAAACTTTTGGTTTAGAGATCAACGGTAAAGGAAATTGAGTGTAATTTAGGATCCTTTGTGTGGTACGCTGCAGGACTGATCAACGAAGGAAAATAAGTCACAACCGGCCATTCAATTCGCTTCCCAGTCTCCTCGCTGGACGACCACCTGTGGCAGTGTGGTGGATGGCGTTAATCAGGCACATCTGTTGATGAGGTTCAAGTTGGAGATAGTAGTGGATGATTCGATCCTTTTCTTAGATGTCCTTCTAAACAGGAAACCTGACGGTAGTGTCCGGAGGAGCGTCTATCGGAAGAAAACCTGGTCTGAACAATACATAAACTTCGGGAGTTTGGGCCTCTCCAACCCAGACGAAATCTAGTTCGGTGTTTTATGCAAAGGGTTTGGAAGATTTATTCTGTAGACAGCATTGAGGAGGATCTTAGATAGATCCAGGAATCGTTTCGCGTATACGGGTACCCTGAGAGGTTTATCGGAAATAATATTGCCGAACAACCGGAAAAACCTACTATACTGACGGCTGAAAAGAAAAATCTGATCCTCAAAGTCTCTTTTCAACGGGACGCTGCGAGTGAACTCCTAGGAAGACGCCTTGATCAAACTGTCTCACGAACTTTCCCGGCAGCAAGGGTTCGAATATTATTCTTTACCAATTCTATTTTACACGGAGAAGGCAAGGATAGGCTGCCATCTCAGAACACCCCAAGGTGCATCAACTCCTTCACCTGCTTCTGTGAAACAGGTTATATTGGTCGAACGAGTCGATGCCTATCCAAAAGAGTAGGAGAACACCACTCAGCATGGCCGGGAAAAGGCAAAACTAGGAGCGTAAACAGCACCATTCTTTCACATGTTGTTGATTCTAGGCATCGTGTGGCACGCAGTGATTTTTTTCGCCTGATTTACAAGGTCCCATCGTAGCTACTCCAAGCTACTGGGCCAACTTCTGTTATTTACGGCAGAGGCGGCCGCAATCAGGTTACGGCAGTCGGTCTTGTGAGCGCATAAAAACCTTATTCAGGTTCCACGCTTACCGCGGTCGACTAATTACAAGCAACTCTCTGCACCCTTCCGCTCGCACCCCGGTCCTGGCACTGAACCTTATTATTCCCCTGCCCCCATATTTTCATACTCTGCCTATGTTTCAAGATGAAATTAAGTAGATTTCTGTAATCACTGGCATTTTTCGCTTAACCCCGTTCTCTTGTAAACATACTGACCTGGGACAGTAAACATATGGTTACCAACTTGTCCTCTGAACACCGCCATGGGGATTTTCGCAACTGCTCTATGTGTTGGTTTCCATAATGGGCATATTTGAGGGCCTAATGCACTTTTCGCGTATGGAAAAAATGGTGTGCATAGTCGGAACTTTGGTAGCTTTGAGTAGATTGCTACAGTAAGGACAGGTAATGTTGGACAAAACCGTCATTTCCGAAAGGACACAAACATGCTATGTAATAAAAATAGTCCTATGATTTGCAACTTTTTAATTTCCACAGACAGTAGTCTTACGCTTGAAGAAAATCAGTCTAAAGCCACTCAAGCGTAGACTGAAAGTCGATACAAATAGTTTGGTCGAAGACCATTAACAACAGCGGAATAATCGCCCACTGATGAACTGAATTCCTCGCAACGCTTCATGCAGTGGCAGAATATCGGCTAAACACTGGTCTGGCTTTTTATGTAGTACCTGTACCGTAAAGTATGGTATGTTATCTAACCTATGTGTATACCGCTGGCGGCCTCTTGGAAGTTTATGAATAGTACGCGGTTATTCCGCCCTGAC